TTTGTTGACATCAAAATAGTGTGCACGTGTGTGTGGTGTTTGAAATAAATTCAACGAACATTACCACATGAACTACTTATTGGGAGTCACCAGTGGTGACTCCCAAGATACTCTGGGAGTTCCTAATTTATAATCTGACATAGAAATCAATCATAAGAACTCATATCAAGAGCAATGAGGGCGAGCTTATGTACAATGAGACTCACAACGTTTCCACCATCATTTTTTTTTTTTGAGATATATACAAGAGTTGTTACATTCTTGTACAGCCACTAGTACGCGTAGCGTTTCGGGCAGGTCCCTGGAATACGATCCCCTGCCGCGAAGAATCGTTTTTTCATCCAAGTACACATTTTACTGTTGCGTTAAACAGAGGCTACAGTTAAGGAATTGCTCCCAGTAAACCCTCCCCGGCCAGGATACGAACCCATGACATAGCGCTCGCGGAACGCCAGGCGAGTGTCTTATCACTACATCATTTAATCTCATCCTAGTCACTGCTACAAGTATCCATCCCACAGCAAACGCTACTAGAGACATAATCAACATTGGAGCTGCTATATCATCATCACAATACAGAGCTTGGTCTCAACAAGAAAGATATCTTCTGGTAACTGTCAGAGAAGCTCCGGTTCTCAAATCTGGACAAGTTATTGATTGTTTTAGAGCATAGAATGGTCAATTGCATGCTTTATAACATGAATATGTCCATATATAATTTGAGACTTTTTTCTATTGCTGAATCCTTCTTATAAATTAGAAATGTATCTGGATATAATATTTTGCTGCATATTTGCATATACATTATACATGTATAATTCCACTTCTTTATTAGCATTTGATTATTGGCTGCTGCAATATTTTTAGAAATAGGTTAGAATGTGTATATTGTTCAGAGCTTTGATCTCGAACCGTAGCAGTGTTTATAGTCATGAAAACTATAGTTTATTAATATATCCTTGAATACCTGGTTGATGGGGTTCTGGGAGTTCTACTCCCCAAGTCTGGCCCGAGGCTAGGCTCGACTTGTGAGAGTTTGGTCCACCAGGCTGTTCCTTGCAGCGGCCCGCAGGCCCACATACCCACCACAGCCCGGTTGGTCCGGTAATCCTTGCAGGAAACAATCTAGTTTCCTCTTGAAGATGTCCACGGTTGTTCCGGCAATATTTCTTATGCTCGCTGGGAGGGTGTTAAACAACCATGAACCTCTGATGTTTATACAGTGTTCTCTGATTGTGCCTATGGCACCCCTGCTCTTCACTGGTTCTATTCTGCATTTTCTTCCATATCGATCATCATACATAAAATAATATAAATAAAAATACAAGCTAATAAATACAAGCGAATAAAATACAAGCTAAATGTGTTGAAATACCCGCAGGTATATTGGGGTTCTGCTATCAATGACCCAGCTCAGCCCTGAGAAACTAACCTGCCACAGCCCATTACCAGTATCAAGGACAAAAGAATTGGGCCTTACAACCCAGACTGGGACCCTTGCCCTTAGCTAAAAATTTGCACTCTATATTTTTGCATTTTAATGATATATATACAGCACTTACTTTCCAAGTCCTATATAATTCTCCTCTTTTTTCAAATATGGCATTTTTCCCACAAGCTGTTCTCACCAAATTGTACTCACCTATTTGTACTCCCTTAGTTGTATGTATGTAGTTGTACTTACCTACTTGTATTCAATTAGCAATGAGCACCAAGTTGTAGTCACCTACATATACTACCCTAGTTGTTCTCGTGTAGTTGTACTCACCTACTTATATTCACATAGCAGTGCTCACCAAGCTGTACTCACCTAGATATACTCTCCTAGTGTTCTACTGTGGTTGTACTCACCTACTTGTATTCAAATGTCAGTGATCACAAAGTTGTACTCACATACATATACTCCCCTAGTTGTTCTCATGCAGTTGTACTCACTTACAACTGGTGTGGTCAAGGACCGGGCCGCTTGGACGCTAAGCCTCGAAATCATCTCAAGATAACTAACTTGTATACACCTAGTAGTGCTCATCAAATTGTACTCACCTACATGTACTCTCCTAATTGTACTCATCTAGCAGTGCTCACCACGTTGTATTCACCTACATGTACTCTTCTAGTTGTACTAACTTAGATGTACTCTTCTAGTTGTACTCACCTACATGTACTCTCCTAGTTGCACTCATGTTTTTGTACTTACCTAGTTGTATTCAACAATTTGTGCTATAATGAAATTAATGTATAATTAGCTATAATACAGATGCATGTGATAAAGAAGTTTTTGATGCACCTTAAATTTTTTCTTTCGAATAAAAATGTTTGCATGTGTCCTTCATACACCTATGAAACAACATTTTCAATATATCTTAATTGAAATTGAAATAGAACTAAGTTTATTGAGGTAAAATACACACAAAGGGATGAGGTAGCTTAAGCTATTCTCACCCCGTTCAGTACAACGTGTTCATACATATATAGACACATCACAAACAATAAATATATTGCCGAACATTCTGAGAGATAATCATATACATTTCCTCCTTTACACAAGTAGTATAGTATCAGACGTACACACAAATACTTTTATGACTTAGGTATACTGTATAGACAAATTGCAAGAGACATGCAGATAATTAAAAAAAAAATTACAGTCTTGGAGCAAAATTCTTATATCTCTCCATAATATCATCAATCTTTCCATTGTGACACATCCAGGCTATTTGTTCAGGAACAGTCCTTATCCCAGTGTTTCTATATACATTAATCAACGGACAGTCAAGAACATAATGGGTGAGGGTGTGAGGCTTAGCATACCACATAGTTTACACTTCGTGTCATTATCATGAACACGTATCCCATATTGTACCCAAGTCTGAGCCGCATGTGCACAGAGTCACTCCAAGCATATGTTGCTTGGAGTGACATCAAGTAACTACACATCAACATTAATAACATCAAGTAATTACACTCCAAGCCATATATTAATGTATTATACATAAAGTACTTAAATATAATTTTAAACATGAAAACAGTATAATTATATAATTTATATCAATAGTATAATATATATATATATATATAATATATATAATATATATATAAACATTATTATTTTTTATATTAATATTATATAATATATATAATATATATACTATATATAAAATATAATATATATAATATTTTCTATATTATATATATGTGTTATATATATAAACATTATTATTATTATATAATAATATTATATATTATATAATATATATAAACAGTATAATATATAATTTTGCAAATAGTGTTAAACAAATAGTTTTTAGCAAAATCCTAATAAAAAATGAAATATGAGTTTTCATAAATAAGAAGTAAATGTTTTGCACATCTATCATACAACTAAAACACAACATTTACAATTAATATTGTTGTTCGTTACAAAATGACATAAAATTTAATATGTAAACATGAAAAAATTGTTTTAATATATAAGGAAACAAATAGTATTATATTATTCAACATATTACCTATATAAAAAATTATAATCCAGTCATCAAGTAACTAAACGTTTTAAGAATGTTTCATACTGCTATGGAAAAACATTCACAATTTATATATGTAATGTACATAAATTTAATATTTAAACATGATTTTTTATATATATATAAAGGAGAAACTAGTGTTAGAAAATGAAGCAATTGCCATATTACATAAAGAAATACTTTCACCATTCTTGGGTTAAAGGTTGCTCATGTGCCTGTTGAACCATACTTGCAACTTGTCTTTCCCACAACCCTATGTCACCTACTTATATTCACATAGCAGTGCTCACCAAGCTGTACTCCCCTTGGGGGAGCCGGTCGGCCGAGCGGACAGCACGCTGGATTTGTGATCCTATGGTCCTGGGTTCGATCCCAGGCGCCATCGAGAAACAATGGGCAGAGTTTCTTTCACCCTTTGCCCCTGTTACCTAGCAGTAAAATAGGTACCTGGGTGTTAGTCAGCTGTCACGGGCTGCTTCCTGGGGGTGGAGGCCTGGTCGAGGACCGGGCCGCGGGGACACTAAAAAGCCCCGAAATCATCTCAAGATAACCTAGATATACTCTCATAGTGTTCTATTGTGGTTGTACTCACTTACTTGTATTCAAATGTCAGTGCTCACAAAGTTGTACTCATCTACATATACTCCCCTAGTTGTTCTCGTGCAGTTGTACTTACAACTGGTCTGGTCAAGGACCGGGCCGCTTGGACGCTAAGCCTCAAAATCATCTCAAGATAACTAACTTGTATGCACCTAGTAGTGCTCATCAAATTGTACTCACCTACATGTACTCTTCTAATTGAACTCATCTAGCAGTGCTCACCACGTTGTATTCACCTACATGTACTCTTCTAGTTGTACTCACTTAAATGTACTCTTCTAGTTGTACTCTCCTAGTTGCACTCATGTTTTTGTACTTACCTAGTTGTATTCAACAATTTGTGCTATAATGATATTAATGTATAATTAGCTATAATACAGATGCATGTGATAAAGAAGTTTTTGATGCACCTTAATTTTGTAAGGTGTAACAACGTTTTGTGTTTGTTGGGTACACCTTGTTCCAACCCCTAGTGCACACACATGATACCTACCCCTGATGCCCACATATGATACCTACCCCTGATGCCCACACCTGATACACACACCTGGAAACACCTGGTGCCTAATCCTGGTGTGCACACATCTGGTGACAACACCTGGTTCACACACCTGTTGCCCACCCCTGATGCAAGCACACTCAGCACCCACACCTGGTGTACACACAGCTGGTGCCCACCCCTAGTGTACACATCTGGTGACCATGCCTGCACACTGGTGGTCCCCACCCCTAGTGTACAAACCTGGTACACACACCTGGTGCAAACACCTAGTACACACACCTGGTGCCCACATGTACACACACATGGTGTATTCACACCTGGTACACACACCTGGTACACACATCTGGTGACGACTGTAAGGTTACTTCAGACTGTTAGTCTGAGTAAGTGTAGGAAACATTGACAACGTCGACGAGGTGTTGCAGCTTGTGGAGCGGCATGGTTGCTGTTGCATGGTTGTTGCTGACTCTGTACTCGTAGAGAGTCTTGCGGAAGACACTGGCCTCAGGCGGTGACACACGCAGCTTCTCACCCGTCTCGATCCTCACACCATTGTCCCTAGTTACAAACAACATATTCAGTTATGTGGAAATTTCCTTTTTCAAATTAATAACTTATTGGTGTAAAATGATAGATAAAAAGGCCAAAGTTTGTGTGTGTGTGTGTGTGTGTGTGTGTGTGTGTGTGTACTGAACTAGTTGTGCTCACCCATTTGTGCCTGCAGGCTCTAGCTCTTGGACCCCACTTTTCTTTCCGTTGGTTGTCTAATGCAATGACTCCTCGCCTATTTCCACTATCATATCTGCTTTTAAAGTTATGAATGGAGTTAGCTGCTAGAACTTGCTCCTTTTGGTCATTTCAGCTACTCACTACCCCTTACTCTAAAAGAAAATTTTCTATCATCTCTATTACTCATCTGAGTCTCAAGCTTCCATCGAAACCCCTTGTTCTATTGATATTCATTGACATTTCTTGTTTCCAACCTTTTCAATCCCTCAAAGTATTTTATACGTTTGTATAATACCTCCCCTCACACTCCTCCTTTCTAACGTCGTTAGGGTTAGTTCTTTCAGTCTGTCTTCGTAACTCATCCCTTGCACTTGTGGGATGAATCTCGTTGCAAACTTCTACACCTTACCGAGCTTCCTCGCGTTTTTTTTAGATGAGGCTCTGCGATGGGGCGCCATACTCTAAGACTGGCCTCATATAGGCGGTATACAGTGCTCTAAAAGCATCTTATTCAGGTTTCTGATGAATGTTCTGACTTTGCCAGATTAGAGTATGCAGGAGAGGTTATCCTATTTATATGTGCCTTAAGAGTTAGGATAAAATACCATGCCCAAGATTACCAACCGAGTGCCGGCAGGGGGATGGAAATAGCCTCAACTACCATCCTCTTTTGTCCGGTCGGGTGGGTCGAGCGGTTAAGGGATCCTGTACGCCAGCAGATTGCTCCTAGCAGTATGGGTTCGAGTCACTTTTGGGGGTGTGAGTTTTCAGTTGCATATAGTCCTGGGGACTATTCAGGCTTGTTCGCTTATATATATATATATATATATATATATATATATATATATATATATATATATATATATATATATATATATATATATATATATATATATATATATATGTGTATATCACGAAAATAAACACGTGATTAAGAATGTGACAATGTCAGACCACGGAGGAAAAATGAAACAGGAAATTTCCTTAAGTACTTTCGTATATTAAATACATCTTCAGAAGGTCCTTCTGAAGATGTATTTAATATACGAAAGTACTTAAGGAAATTTCCTGTTTCATTTTTCCTCCGTGGTCTGACATTGTCATATATATATATATATATATATATATATATATATATATATATATATATATATATATATATATATATATATATATATATATATATGTCGTACCTAGTAGCCAGAATGCACTTCTCAGCCTAATATGCAAGGCCCGATTTGCCTAATAAGCCAAGTTTTCCTGAAATAATATATTTTCTCTATTTTTTTTCTTATGAAGTGATAAAGCTACCCATTTCATTATATATGAGGTCAATTTTTTGTTATTGAAGTTAAAATTAACGTAGATATATGACCGAACCTAACCAACCCTACCTAACCTAACCTAACCTACCTTTATAGGTAAGGTTAGGTTAGGTAGCCGAAAAAGTTAGGTTAGGTAGGTTATGTAGTCGAAAAACAATTAATTCATGAAAACTTGGCTTATTAGGCAAATCGGGCCTTGCATAGTAGGCTGAGAAGTGCGTTCTGGCTACTAGGTACGACATATATATATATATATATATATATATATATATATATATATATATATATATATATATATATATATATATATATATATATATATATATATATATATATATATATATACAAACTTTTAGACACACAACACCCACCTGGGGACTTGAACCCTGGCCACCAAGATGGCAGGTACGCACTTATACCCACTGCACCGTACTCAGAGCCCTGACAATAGTATAGTGAGAGGCAATTGACGTTTTCCATCAAGCCCTGTTATATGGGAGAACACGTGGTCATTGCCGGGGCTCTGAGTATAGTGCAGTGGGTATAAGTGCATACCTGCCATCTTGGTGGCCAGGGTTCAAGTCCCCTGGTGGGTGTTGTGTGTCTTAAAGTTTCTATACTTCTACCTTGCGTGTTTAGGCAAGTGTATGCATTATACATACATACATATATATATGTCGTACCTAGTAGCCAGAATGCACTTCTTGGCCTACTATGCAAGGCCCAATTTGCCTAATAGGCCGAGTGATTTTCTTTTTTTCAACAAATTGTTTCCAATTGGTTTATTTTAATTATTATTACAATATTATACTAAGAACATAAATTATTGACTTAGTTATGTTAGATTAGGTTAGGTTATGCTAGGTTAGGTTAGGTTAGGTTATGCTAGGTTAGGTTAGGTTAGGTAGGGTAGGTTAGGTTCGATCATATATCTACGTTAGTTTTGACTCAAATTTACAAAAATGAACTCATACATAGTGAAATGGATGTCTTTATCATTTCATAAGAAAAAAAAAGAAAAATATGTAAATTCAGGAAAACTTTATTTATTAGGCAAATTGGGCCTTGCACAGTAGGCCGAGAAATGCGTTCTGGCTACTAGGTATGACATATATATATATATATATATATATATATATATATATATATATATATATATATATATATATATATATATATATATATATATATATATGTATATGTCGTACCTAGTAGCCAGAACGCACTTCTCAGCCTACTATGCAAGGCCCGATTTGCCTAATAAGCCAAGTTTTCCTGAATTAATATATTTTCTCTAATTTTTTCTTATGAAATGATAAAGCTACACATTTCATTATGTATGAGGTCAATTTTTTTTTATTGGAGTTAAAATTAACGTAGATATATGTCCGAACCTAACCAACCCTACCTAACCTAACCTAACCTATCTTTAAAGGTTAGGTTCGGTTAGGTAGCCGAAAAAGTTAGGTTAGGTTAGGTTAGGTAGGTTAGGTAGTCGAAAAAACATTAAATCATGAAAACTTGGCTTATTAGGCAAATCGGGCCTTGCATAGTAGGCTGAGAAGTGCGTTCTGGCTACTAGGTACGTCATATACATATATATATATATATATATATATATATATATATATATATATATATATATATATGGATAGATAGATAGATAGATAGATAGATAGATAGATAGATAGATAGATAGATAGATAGATAGATAGATAGATAGATAGATAGATAGATAGATAGATAGAGAGATAGATAGATGCAAACAAGCTTGAATAGTCCCCAAGCCAATATGCATAAAAAAACTTCAATATGTGAAGTTTTTCTTTACACTCCTGCACACTTCTTCACACTCTTGTTCGTATTTGTGTTGCTCATGTGGCCCCACAAAATGAGGTAATTCAATGAAATATCTTTGCCCAAGCTTACCACCAAGTGCTGTCGGGACGTTGGGAATATAGCCTCCGCTATCATTGTCTTTTGTACAGTCACGGTTTGGTCGAGTAGTTAAGAAACCGGGTGTGCCATGTACATAGTGCTCCTGGCTGTCTGGGTTCGAATCCTTTCGGGGTGAGGAGATATATATTGGTGTATACTGGCAGCAGGTTTTCATTTATTCATGTTTCATTGAATATGAGTGCATATTCTGTATTGATTATTTTCTGGTTTAGGGCTTCCATCTCTCTGACTAGTGCTCTTCCATCTGGGTTTAACTGGAAGATAGTCCGCACCAGTCTCCGTGGTGTAGTGGTAAGACACTCGCCTGGCGTCCCGCGAGCACTATGTCATGGGTTCGTATCCTGGCCGGGGAGGATTTACTGGGCGCAATTCCTTAACTGTAGCCTCTGTTTAACGCAACAGTAAAATGTGTACTTGGATGAAAAAACGATTCTTCGCGGCGGGGATCGTATTCCAGGGACCTGCCCGAAACGCTACGCGTACTAGTGGCTGTACAAGAATGTAACAACTCTTGTATATATCTCAAAAAAAAAAAAAATGAGTTCTCTAAAAGGGATGTTCATTCGAGGCGAAGAAAAAGAAATAAATGACTGTAAAATGTATTACACTTATAAAATTACACAGGGTTTCGAACCTACATGGTTCATTCTCAAGTGATGTGACAGTTTGTTGTTGTTGTTTAAGATTCGCTACTCAGAACAATAAGTTCCAGTAGCACGGGCTATGGTGAGCCCGTAAGTGGAGGCTCTTTAGAGCCATTATCTGTATCAGTGGCTGATACTAGAGATGTGACGATGGATGGGGGTCTTCATGATGGTTTTCAGCCTGGAGAGCTGGCTATATCAGTTATGGAGCTGGTGGGGTTAGTGTAGACCTCTAGGTTTTCCGTTTTTTCTTTGCCTGTGACTTTGGCTGAGCAGTGGTGTCGTTAGAGTTTGGTGACGTGGCCTCCATGAGGAAGTCTTGAACCGTGTTGGTGTCGTGATGTGACAGTACAGGACAATGTATTTATACCATTAGTGGGTCAGGTGAAAAAAATGGATAGAGTAATGGGGCGAGGTGTAGACAAATGGATCGAACAATGGGTTATTTTGGGGTATACAAATGTTTTAAAGAATAAGGCATAAAGAGAAACGTGTAGAATAAGAGGAAATAGGGAACGAAACCAGAATGAAATGGCCATGTAGCAGGGGCATCAGGGTGAAAGAAACTCTGCCCCTGCTACATTTGAAAAACGTAAATTTTACAAATAAAAATTGTAAAAACAGAGAAATTTGTCTCTGCCTAGTCCTTGAATCGAACTCGGACCACAGGATTACAAGTCCCGCACGCTGTCCACTCAGCTACCAGACCCTCTTTGTGAGTGTGTGTGAGTGAGAGTGTGTGTGTGAGTGAGAGTGTGTGTTTGTGTGTGTGTGTGTAATCCCTGAATCCATGTTGATGCTGTGTTACAAAGTTCTTTCGCTCCAGGTGTTCCACTACCTTTCTTCGCACAATCTTCTTTATCAGCTTGCATGGTATGCAGGTTAGGGACACTGGCCTGTA